AGATGCTGGCCGGGCCGTGCTGCTCTCCCTCCAGCCAGCTGCAAGAGCTGCAAGAGGGCACCACGGACCTTGCACCATGCTGGAAACAGGGAGAGCCCAGCCCTACACCGTGTGCCCGGCTGGGGGCAGGAGATGCCCTGGGCTCCTGGGACGGAGGCTTCATCCCTGCAGCGGAGCCTACATGCCCTGCGGAGGAGGGACCCCAGCCCTATGTGTGGTGGCACCTGGGCAGCCCAGGTAGCCATCCCTGCTGGCGGCAGCGGCACTGCGTGGGGCAGGGGCACTGCCGGGGGGCTGGAGCTGGGGCAAAGCCAAACTGGCACCGTTCCTCACCCCTCCTGGGAACGGGCAAGGGAAACGGTGCGACCGTGCGTGAGGGGCGATGCTTGCAGAGGCAAAAGCATCCCACTGGTTCAGAAAATTGCTGCAGAACCGGGCTTAAATGAGTTGAAATTGCTGAATTCAGGCAGATCTCATATCCCGGGCAGTTGCAATGCTGGCGTCAGCGCTGTGGCTTCCATCCCTGGGCACCCAGGCGGGGACGTGCAGAGGAGGAGAGATGCCAGGGGCCGCAGCAGTGGGGCAGGAGCAGAGTGGGGGTGCCAGGACAGAGGCAGCTGCACCAACAGAGCAGGGGACAGTGTGCATGGGGACAGGAACCTGTGAGGGTGGCAGGCCCAGCTGACTGGGGTTGTCCCCTTGCTGTGCCCAGTTACCTGTGTTCTGGCTCTGCCTGTATTACACTGGAGGCAGCACAGCCCCATCTTCTGCAGTGGGCATCCCTGTGCCACTGTGTGCCACTTAGGAAGCATCGATTCCCATTCCAAGGCCACTCTCCCCGTGGTCCCTGCCCGATTCCTCACTCCGGTGCCCTGGTGCCCGCAGCCCTGCTCTCCTGGTTGCTGCCAGTTGGTTCTAGAGCAGTGGGGCTGGGGTACTCGGAGCATCCCACAGGAGCTGGGCCATGTGCCCCAGACGTGCGGGAGCAGGAGCTGCCTGGGCCCCAGGTACTGCCACTCATTGCCCATGTGTGCCAACATTTGGCTGTTAGCTTAATGCGGCCCCTTGTCTCCTCAGAGCAATCAGGATTTGCTGCTGCTTGCAATGTTTAATGTCGTCTTCCAGAGGCTAAGTACCGTGGGGAGCCGTGTAAGCCGTGGAAATACCTGTGTGAGCCGGGATCAGCCGGAGGCAGGCACAATGGGCTTGTCGTGCCAGGGACAGGGCACCGGGGAGCACGTGGGGCTGGAAAACCCCACAGTAGGACCACCACGGTGGGCAAGGTGAGGGTATCAGGGCCTGGTACTGGGCACCCAGTGCCCCACAGGTGCCCAGTTCCATGGGGTGGAGGGGAGCAGTGTGGAGCAGGAGGAGGAAAGCGTGAGGCCGGGCTATCTCCCAAGGGGATCTGCTTGCTGAGCCGCCGGCAGCTATTTCTGTCAAGGTCAAAGTGTCTCCACAGCAGAGAGCAGGGAAATGAGTAATCGTGTTGAGAAATTACCTCCCTAATGGGGTCTCCCCGGCACGTGAGTGCGGCGCGGGGATGCCGCGCGCGGCGCCGGCGCGG